AAAAAAAAAAAAAAAAAAAAAAAAGAGCATTCACTGAATTTCACTCCTTTCTGACCCTCGGACGGCTCCTGCTGGTTGCACCACTTTCCCTTTTGTTGTTGTTGTTGTTGTTGTTGTTGTTGTTGTTTTTCAATTAATTGGCCCGATGGACCACAGATCAGATATTAAACTGATCAGAACAGATACTACACTTCATCTTAGCCAAAAGGCCGAGAAAGGTATCCCTTTTCTTGTTTTCAACTTTTCAATGTCCTTTTTTTTTTTTTTTTCCTTTTTAAAAAGTTTTTCAAGTTTTTTTTCGTTTTAGTTTTCCTTTCTTTTTCTTCTGAGAGTGTTTCCTTTTTTTTTTCTGACGAGATGTAAAAGAAAATCTGCTCCAATAATTGTGCCAGCAACTGCCCAAACTGAGGTGTATACCGTCCGGAGCTGTTTTTTTTTTTTTGAATAAAAAAAAATCAAGGCTCCTTGTATTCTGCCGGACCTGTGTTATGTTATTCTATATCATCACATAATCTCACATGTTTCAATTACTTGTCTAAAAAAATCATTTAAAAATGTCTAAACTTCATCTATTAAATAATTGGAGCTCAGGAGGCAATCAAAATGCTGCTGCCCTCATGTTTCGCCAGCTGTTACGGAGGAAAGTGTTGAGTGGGTCATCTATGTAAAGGACGCTGAGCCCGGTTTTCTATAATGATATAAAAGGACGGGAAATTACAAGATTGCCCTCAAAATTTCCAATTTCTACCACTATACCTCTCCAAAAAGTATCTCTCATGGCAGTTTTCATTACTTCCCTAAATAATGGCTCAAACTTCAGCTATTAAACAAGAAGAAATTACAAGATTGTCCTCAAAGTTTCCCATCATTACTGATATACCCCTCGAAAACTGCCTCTCATGACTGTGTCTTCCTGACAAAAGGAAGGACAATATCCCAAACAAGTTGAAACAACAAAATTGCCAATGAGCCTGCTCAGTTGGTACACCCACGGACTGTTCGCAGCCAGGAGGCTGAGCTTGTGTGGGTTGACCCAGACCCAAATCATCCACCCCAATTTGAAAGGGGAAAAAAGTTAAAAAAAATCCATCCCTCAAACGGAAAACAATGGACGGCTCCCTATGCTGAATTCGAATGACCTTGACAAGCTATCCTGCCCTATGACTGGCCTCAGGGACGACTGCGACTGGACCCTATTCTCTGCTTTTGGAAACCCCAAACGAACCTGTCCCCAAAACGCTGTACTGCACGACCTTACCCAAAAAAGGAAGCATCCAAA